AAAGTTTCTTCAAACTTCTCAAACAGGGACTTCATCCTGGGACAAAGGCTAGAGTCCTGGCAGACAAACAACACTGAGACTGCCACCCACCTGTGTGGACAACCAGCAGCTAAGAAATCCTCATGAGCAAGAGCAGAGTGAATGCCACAACAACAGTGTGGATTTGTCTCCAAAGGGCTCAGGCCATCACCAGCATTTTTTTGCCAACTTCACAATCTGATGGCAGTACTGGCCCAGACCACAGCACAATGCAGTGTTTGCTGAGCCATCGATCCAAACGCAGGTGTTTTGCTGCCTTTGCCACTATCTATAGCATCTCTGACATGTTATTCCTAGAATGACATTGCAGTGCTGCTTTGTACTCACTGAGCTGTTATGCATTCAATGTAATTCCTGCAAAGACTGAGTGATTTTATGCCCAGTAGCTCAATAGTTATTAGTTAGGCATAGTAGGATCTCAGCAGTAAAATCTCATGTTTCAGGGCATAAATTGATCACTGCAGGAGTCAGGAAGGAGTCCTTTGTCCCACGTACAGCAACACTCAGCTGGTCCAATGAATTATGGAGAGTGACAGATTTCCATCTCCCTCTGAAGCATGAAATGTTTGCCACTTCCACAGGCAAAATACTAGACTTAGCAGGCAGGTCAGTGATCTGATCCATTATGGAAAGTCCTACATTCCAGTGATTTTACAGAGCTGGGGGTGTCTGTAGAAAGAGTGGGGTTATAATCAAGAATTGGCCTTTTTTCTATCCATGCATACATATATACATGCATGCATGCAACACTTCTTTTCATGTTCTAAAGAGTCAGGTCTGAGAAGGGAATTTATAGACAATTCTCTTCTTTTGAAAGATGACTTTGTTAATGCAACACCAGTGGAGAAAACATGTTATAAGTGGATTCTGACATTTTCAGCAACAAAGGATTAATCTAGTTTACTAGATGGTTGCTGTTGGCTTAATTGCTAACAATATCTGGTAGAATTTCTGGTTGGGAATTTTTTGTCAAAATATTTTTTTCATTAAAAATGCAGATTCCTTTGTGGAAAATGTTGGTTTTGATGAATTTTCTGTTTTGAAACATTTTTGAAATGAAAAATTTGAAATTGTTGAAACAGCCCATTTCAACATTTTCAAAAGGAAAAATTCTATTTTTTCAGATCAAAATAACTGTTTAAAAATTAAGTTAATTTTAATTTATACTTAAATTTAAAAGGTCAAAATCTAAAACAAATGTTTTGAAATTACTGTTTGGATTGATCCAATCTAAAGTTTTTCTGGATTTTCAGTTTGTGAAAATCTGATTTTGACCTTTTGTCCCATATTGGGACAGGAAACAAATTAAAAAATTTGAAAATTCTTGTAGTATGAGAAAACAGTCTCCCGACCATCTCTAATCTCTGCAGTACTATGTGGATATTGGGGATAGCAAGGCCCAATGGGGGTGCTAGAAGGGAGCAAATATTAAATTTTTTAAATTTCCTTCCTGGACTTTGGAAGAGAAAAACATTTTGCCTCATTTTTATTTCAAGCTCGTGTGTATGCTATGGGCATTTCCAAAAAGTGGCTGTGAAATCCTTGGACTCTTCGCAGCTATTCCACTTCACTGAACACAGCATAAGAAGCTGCAAGTGTAAACAGGGCCGAGAGATCTTGCTGAAGTCCACCCTGCGAGTTATGCAGGAATTAAACTCTGTGCTTGTTCTGGGCAGGGACTGACAAATTGGGACAAAACACCTGCCCCTGGAAAACATCAAACAACTGCCAAATTTTAATTTATTATGGGCACCATTTCCTCCTGCAGGAGAGACATGTGACCACAAAACTCACTGCACTTAGCCACATCACTACCCAACAAGGTGAAGGTGGGAGGACAAATGCAATAACTCAGGTGTCAAAATACAGACTAGGTACAATTTTCAAAAGCCCCTAAGTGACTTCGGAGGCCAAGACTCACTGAAAGTTACTAGGACTAGGGATCCTAAGGCGCTAAGTCACTTTTGAAATTGGGGATTTAGGTGATTAAGTAACTTAGGTGCTTTTGAAAAACTGATTCATTATATTAATAATGGTAATTATGGTGTATTAAT